TTTAAAGGAGGATGAGGCCTGAATACAAAATAATTAACTTCCCGATCATAATTATACGCTGCTTTGCACTGGTCTGTCTCATGAAGATATTTGGCTGCAACTTGACCAAGTACGAAGCTTTTTTTTTGTGACATACATTAAACTTTTTAGTCAAAAGGTGTTGATCCAGATGGAAATCATATCAGTATATCTGCATCAACTTGCAACTTAGAAATTACACTTGTTGATTTAAGTTTTTGTGTGTTCTTTCAGCGCCACCTGCAGGCTGTGTCCCAGGCAAAGGAGATTACATCCATCTGGGTTTGTTTCATGACAGAGAAGCCCTTTACCGGATGTTTGAGGCTGAAGGTTTGTGAGGTTTCTTTTCCCTCCAGCTGCTGCTCTTCAGCCTGTTATAAGTTTTAATTACCTTTTTTTGTAAATTTTTCCTTTAGAGGAGAGCCATGTGGAGGCAGGCCACTATGATTCTGTCACGTATCTGCGGCTGTGGAGCGGAGACCTCCAGGGGGCGCTGCAGCTAGCCACTGAAAAAGGAGAGCTGAACGACCACCTGCTGTCTATTGCTCCCATGGGTAACAAGTTTGCATCCAGAGTTGGTCCTGCTGTATTCTTGTTTCTCTATTTCTGTTTTTATCTTTGGGAAACTCTCTGTTTCTCCCCTTGCCCACAGCTGGCTTTGAGGTGTGGCGCCGTACGGTAGAGGCCTTTGTCAAACAGCTGTGTCTGCAGGAGCAGTTCCTGAAGGCAGCATCCCACCTACTGTCACTCAACAAGGTGTATGAAGCTGTTGACCTGCTCAGATCCAACAAGCTCTACAGGTCTGTGTCTCCCAGTGTTTTTACATAGAGGACAGTTATAAGGGGCTCAGTTGTATTAGTTTATTTACAGTAGATTTTTTTTCTACTGTAAATATGCTCAAAATTTTACAGATTTGTCTGAGAATTTAACATTTTTTTAATTTTCATAAATGTCATTTTAACTCTGAATTATGGTGAGAAAGCTAATTTTGATTTGGAAAAAAGTAAGAAACGATATCACCCGGTTAGTTTTTCCATGTTTGTTAAAATTAACAAGTGACCTAAAGAGCTGAGAAATTAATTATTTTTAGTTATTTGTGTTTTTGTTGTAGCTTTAGTGGATGAGCCTCCAGTCAACGCTGCACACTTAACTAGAACAGACTTTGTTGGACAGAATTTGTTGGTTCTTTGTAAATAAAAAAAAAATAATAATCTTTAATCACAATTAACACTGTGCATCCCTCCATAGAGGCACAACTCTAAGCTTAAAACTCTCAGCAAGCTCCAAGCTCTTTTTTTAACCATCAAAAAGTTTCTGGCTGCTCACTTTTTATGGTACTGGAACTGGCAGAGCTCGCTGGAAACAGTTGGTTTGCTGGCACACACTTTACTTTCAAACATAATACAAAAAAGTGGATAAGTTTGAGCTAAATATTAACCCGATGCATCCATCTGAAGTTTGTTTAGGACCAATAAATTAGAACTCCCAGTTATGTCAAAGTTCCAACCATCTGAATCGTGTTTATCATCTCAGAGATGGGTCACTGTCCTGACTGTGGAGCATGGAGGACAGCTGAGATTTTCTTTACTCAAGGGAGGGGATCAGGCCGGAGGGTATTATGTATGTTAAAATTTTAACTCCACTCAAGATCTTAAAGTCAAAATAAAGACTTTATCGGGACCTGTTAAAATTTAGCACATCTATTAGTCATCAGAGTCCAGAAAGAACAATGCTGGATTGTTTTTTCAAAAGGTTTAAATGTAAAGATAGTGTTTTGCTAAGATAGAGATAACATGAATGTTTAGACAGTTTTTTTTTTTTTTTTAAAGCTACTGTAAATCAGAATGAAGTGCATTCCTGGTAAAGACTTTTGTTTTAAAGCTGTTTAATTTATGGTTCCGCTAAGCTCCTGTCTAACAGGGCGTTCCTTCCGTTTGTTTCTCAGGGAAGCCATAGCTTTGGCAAAGGCCCGGCTTTCAGCAGAGGACCCTCTGTTGAGGGATCTTTACACGTGTTGGGCTGCTGTGCTGGAGAAAGATGGACATTTATCTTCTGCTGCTAAATGGTCAGAACCCAGAACAACAGAACTAGACTCAGAATTTGGACTGTGACAATAACCTATTTTTTTTTCCTGCCTCTTTTTTTGTCTCAGTTTCCTTGCTGCTGGCTGCAGTTTCGATGCAGCCAAAGTCATCTCCAAAAAAAACGATGTCCCGTCCCTGAGGACTGCAGCCGATGTGGCAAGAATCTCTGGAGAGAAAGTTCTGGCTCAGTCACTGACGCTAAGATGCGCCAAAGACCTTGCAGCTGCTCAGGACTGGGTTGGCGCACAGGAGGTCCTGAGCTCCCAGAGCCCCTTACTGGTCAGGACCTGTCATAGCTTGAATCCTCTTCTAAAACAGAATTGATAGATGCATCTAATCTGAATCTCTCTGCTCTGCAGGCCCACAGACTCCACTTGTGTGTGGCGGAGCTGTTGTCTGTAACGCTTGCAGGCTCCGGCGTCTACTCCCCAACTTCCTGTGTCTCTTGTCATCCGTGGGCAACGCTAAAAGGTTCCAACACCCTGCAGGACAGAGTGAGAGACATCTGGGACGAAGAGTTTCAGGTTTTCCCAAACTCAGCTGGAGATTTGAGCACTGAGGTTCTTCTACAAGAGCTGAAGTCTGTGGAGACTCCAGCACGGGGTGCTAGTATCCCTCTCAGACAGGTACATGTAAAACAAAACAAAAAAAAAGACTAAAGAGAATTAAACATAAACCTGGAAATGGACTGATTTTTTTTTTATTTTTGTCCATGTCCCCATCTTTAGGCCCTGTTGTACTCGTCAGTCCATCTAACTCGCTCCCTGCTCAGCTGGTTACAGAACGATGATAAACTGCTTATTGCAGAGCTGTGGCAGTCTTTGGCTTGGGTCAGGGAGGCAGGAAACTTTGGTGTCACTGCAATGTTCTGCCGGCTGCTCTTCCCCGAAGGTACCCCACCCAAAGCAAAGAAAACATTTCTTTAAGATTCTATTTAAGCCGGATTGAAAGCAGTCTGCAGGGATTTTCCTAAATAGTAATGAAGCAATCCATTTGTCATTCAGGTGATGTCGGGATATTTTCCAGCAAGCATTCCAAAACCCTCCAACACTTTGAAGCTGAAGCCAGCAGCCTGCAGGCGTTTGTTTGTTACCATCGTCTGTATGAGTGCTGGTGGAGGAACTCGGAGGTCAAAAATGGAACCTGCTCAGACGGTGAGAACGAGTTAAACAGCAAAGAGACGACTGCAGAAACGCTGGAGTTGGAGGAGAGCATCTGCAAAAGGAGCAGCAGCTCTAAAGAACTTGACTTTGAGCCGTCTGTGCTTCTGTCTGAGCCCCATGCTGCCTGTCAGGCTATTCAGAAATCTGTAAGAGATCTCCAGGAGCGACTGTCCGCTATGGTTCTACAGCACAGCCAAGTCCGACAAGGACAACCGGACAGTCAGTCACAATCCTCAGATCAGCAGGAAGCAGCTAAGGAAGCGCAGAGGTTAGTTTCATTAACTTCACTGCATTATTTTCACTGTCATTGAAATTAAAGGTTCTTAAAATAACATTGTAATCACCTAATCTCAGTGTTAAAAAAAAAATAAGTCTTTTTTTAATTTTTTTTTATTCAATGTTTGTTGTAGTTCTGGTAGATTCTGTCTGAAAACTAATAGGCCCATGATCCAGAGCAATACGCACCATTTCCAGTTACCTTCAGCATGAATTCCTTGGACGTTAATTCCTATAGACTGTCGTTTTTAAAAAAAATCCTATCAAACGGTGATGGTACAAATATTTAGTGAGTTTAAGAATAAATAGAGTTGTCTGCTTTTATTACTATTAGTTGGCTCCTCTGAGCAGGTTTGAGCAGGAGATAGACCAATTAGGTCCTCATCTGCAGGAATAAACGAGGCTGTTTGTGCAGTAAGCAAAGATCGGGTAAAAATAATTATTTGCTTGTCTAGTCTTTAGAAGGTGAAATGAACTTCATATGCAGTGAGTCTGAATGCTCTCGCTTCTCTTCAGTATCAAATGAAAGAGCTGATGTTTCAGGCATCCTAGACAAGGGTCAGAATTCTCAGAATGAGTTATTTTACTGCAGGGAGATATGTCTGAGTTTTCCTTCTGGATCAGTTACACCTGCACTCCAATCTCTAATAAGCTGGAAAAAGATGGATAGGCAATGACTTTTAAATTGAAGGTGCACTTCAAGCGTGACAGTCTTACAGGGTTAATTTTGTACAAACAGAACGTTTTAACAGGTGCGCTCGGCCTTTTTGTGACTTATTTTCTTGACGTTTCTTTGTTTGCAGTTCTGAAGAACAGGAAACGTTTCTCTCTTTGTCCTCAAAGATATCCAAACTCCAAGAGGAGATGACTAACATTCCCAACACAATCAAGGTACATAACTAGCAGTTAATGAGGAGACTAATGGGTTGGCAAGTCTGGATCCAAAGAATTGCAAATGACAACTTTAAATTTATGGTCTTGCAGATGTTTCCTCGCCCAGATGTGGTGGAATGTTGCCTTGTTCTCTTGCATCTCAGCAAGACTTCTCCCATGTCTGATGCTCTACAAGAACAAGCAAAAGACCTGCTCCAAAAATATGGAACAAGTCCCTTCATCTTAAAAGCATCCCGAAGATTCCTGACAACATCCGGCTTTCATTTGGACTGAAACAAACTCCTCACTCACAGCTTTTTCTGAAATAAAACTATCTTTGAAAATAATTGAGTCAATGAAACTGCATCAAGACATGGATTTTCTTTGTTTGACTGAATTTAAGTTAAAGCTTCTTTATCTCAAGTTTTATGTTCTACTTTGCTGAGGAACACAAAGGATATTTACATAATTTGGAATGAGCAAAAACATGCATTTTGGTTGAAATAATACATTTTATTTACAGGCCCTTTCAGCAACAACTTAAAAAAAAATCCCTGTAGGGAAAAGGGGGAAAAAAAGGGGTGGTTGGGCAGGATCTGTCTGAGGTGAATCAGAACTGAGAAGTCTTTAAAATCTCAGGATGTCAGGAGCTGGTCCCACGCTGTAAAAACAAACATGTTTTAAAAAAACAGATCTGACTTGTTTGGCCTGAGACACGTTTAAAAAGCGACATGGAAAGAAACGAGTCAGCCACTGAAGGATCTCCCGCTGCAAGTCCACAGAAAAAGTCGCTCGGATATGTTTAGACAAGTCTTTTTGAAGAACTCGAGAGCAGAAATTGGTCGGTGGGCTTTTAAAAACAGGCGAGTCCGATCAGACGCTCAGTGTTTGTTGTTGGTCTCCTCCTGTCCCGAGCCGGAGATCCCGTTCTGTGGCTGGCTGGATCCAGAGCCGAGACCATACAGCCTCCCACAGTACTTGGCGTCATCAATGTGGTCTTCGAAGAAAAGCTGGACAGACAATATTTGAATTTAAAACTTATCTGCAAAAATGTTTGCAGCATGATGGCTCAGATGCCATTGGTCTATCTCAAATCGCACTTCAGACTAACTTAACTTGTATACTGTATTGTAACAAGTGAATAAATTAATTTAGATTTATTTGTTCTTGCTTCTTTAAGAGAAAAATAATTTAACAGATCTCAGCTTCAGAGGTTGGGGCTTAGTTTACCTCTTTCATCCTGAAGAAAGCCATCCCTGTGAGCAACGAGTCAGATCCAGCCTGATGCTGTCGTCCGATCCTCTTCAGTTCCAACTGGTCTGCTACTTCCTGCAGGCCTCCCTGCAGCACAAACACAGCAAGCAGGTAAGTCCAGTCTCTTCTGATGACTAAAACGAATCCAATATGACACTGATACGTTTCAGCAAACCTTGAGACTTTTGCAGCTCTTCATCAGGTACTTGACGTCATAAATTGCAGGAAAAAACAAGTTCAGGATCTGAAAGAAGTCGTGCTCCTCTTCAGGGAGGCGAGCATCTGTCAGGAGCTTCACCAGATAGCCAAAGTCGTAACCGCTGGAAGATCAAACAAAGTGTTACTCAAAGTGTAGATGGTTATCAAACGATGAGGGCTGGATTTGCTTGGATTCAAAACAACCAACCTGTGGAAGGAGAGCCACTTTACGTTTTCACATAGCACCAGGCCCGACGTCATGAGAAGCTCAGCGAAGTACAGCGTGTCGATTCCTTCTTCTTCATGCTTTTTGAACTGCAGACCAGAGTTCTGCAGCAAGTCTATGGAGTCCTGTGAATACATATCTTCCCTGTGGTGGGGTAAAAATTACAACAAATACATCAGCTCCAAGCATTTTACTAAAGACCCTCCATACAAGCCAATAAAACTATTCTGCTGTTCTAATTAGAGAAAATAAAAGATTGAATTCAGTTTAGAGTCGACATAAGATAAGCTCAAATTAAACGTACAGATTTTACAAGAATAAACTGTTCATTTCCACTTTGTGGAGCTTGTATCTAATTGAACCAGTGAGACAGATGCTAAGTTACAATCTTGCTCCTTCACAGTTGAACTTGTTAACGATAAAGATGGACATATTCCTAAAGGTAAAGTAATCTGAAGCCATACTGGGTCCATCTGTTCCAAGTCGGCACCTGTTAGTAAATGAAAACTTCAGCTCCTGTCCATAAATGCTACAAAAATAATCTATAACACAAGGATGTCTGCATTATAATAAATATGCTCTTTGGTGATGTGGCAGCCTGATAAGTCAATGAATGAGACATTAAAAAAAAAAAAAAACAGCTAATACAGCAAGAAATCATCTAACGCTGAATCTCCAGAGAAACATTTTCCACCTACGTGAGGTTGAATTTGAAGTTGAACTGCCACGTCGTAATTCCTGGAGGATAATCGCCATCCTCATTCATGAAGGTGAGTCCAAGCTGGATGATTTTCAGGAGATCCACGTTGCACCTCAGCAGTTGGTACTGGTAGTCCACCGTGCTGCGAAACTCTCCGATTGGCCGCACGACGACCCCAGGGAACTCTGTGTCCTGGTAAAAAAGAAATGTTGGAAGAGGTCATTGGTTAGCAGGTATGCCGCATTGCTCATCTCGCTGATCTGTTCAAATAAGTCATTCGGTGTCACCCAATCAAAAAGGAGATAAATGGAAGGAGAAAGAAAAGATGGAAACATGTTTAAACTATCACAATTTTATTTGCTTTTTCCAGAATTAGTAGGAATTCTGTAAAACACATTTGCTCCCAAAATATATTAATCTAACAAACTTAAACAACATAAAGTAAAAGAAAAGGCTACTGTTGCACCTTAGTTAGCATTACAGGTTTAGACACTATTGTGTATGTGTGGATATAGCTTAGCTTCAGATATTAGAGCATAGAGTGGATCAGCTAGTCATTAACAGCTCAGAGCAAATTTAACAGATCTTAAGATGGACATATTTAATTTAGCTATGTAGGAACAGTATAAACTGTTGAGATCTTACCATGGCAACATAGTTGTAGCTTTGGATAATCTGTCTGATCTTCCTCATTTCTTCTTCCACATTGCTTGCCCAGACCTCACAAATGATCTGACTGGAATCTGCAAGTGCAGCTGGCATGTTGGCAGGTCAGATGAAAAGCTAAAATACCAACAGTCCTGCAGCGCTCAGTGGGAGGTGAGGAGGAAATCCAATAAAAAAAAAAATTAATTCTGGGAAAGAAAGGGAAGGAAAATGTTAGTGAAACTGATCCCAATCAAATAATTTTCCCTTAATCTCTACTAAAAACAGCACATAAAAAATAAAAAATCTGCAATGAACCCAGCAAAACAACTAAAAACCAATCAGTAAAAGCACCAAAAAAAGTGATGCTTTTTTTTTTTTCTGTGAAGCATAAATATGAATATTTAAAATTCCTTCATTTCCTGTTGGATTCCAAACTAACTTCTGTGCCACTTCAGCTCATACTCTTCTTCAATATTACCTGTGACCAGATTAAAGGGCAACAGTCTCCGAAGAGATGTCTAGACTTCATCTCGCACAACTCTTCCTCAATCTCATCTTGGGAAAGCTCAGGGCGTTCTACAATGCGCCCGGGCTTTACCCTGGGCCTCCTGTCAGTGGGATGTGTCTGGAACACATCTGAAACAAATCATCCCTTTTATTGTAGCGAAGCGACTCTACTCTGAGCCTTGCCCAGAGTTGTCATGCTCCTCGACCCGTCTCCAAGGGTGTGCCAGGCCACTCTGCGAAGGAAGCTCATTTATCTGGATATTTGTTCATTTAGAGATGGACACTTGTCTGCAGCAGCCTCACTTAATCTTTCTGTCAAACCCTTTTCATCACTTCCATTTTCCCCTCACTTATAGAAAGGACCATGACATACTTGAACCCTTCACTTCAGACATGAACTGATCTCAACCTGGAGAAGGCAAGTGAACCTTTTCGATTGAGAACCCTGAATTTTGGTGGAATCCCGTTTTTTATGTTATGGGTTTAGATATTGGATATATTTGTATTGTTTCTTTTAAAAGACTTTTTCCCCCTCTACTTTCTTAAAACATGACTTTCAGAAACTGTTAATCGGCTAGTGATTGAAATAGACCTGCTTAGGACTTTCTGACACTTTGCTGGATTGTCTATACTTTACACCGAATATGTCCTGGCATGTCAGCTACTGGTATAGAACAGAAGATGAGGAGGGAAACAGTCAAGCTGCACAGCAAAAGCCTCTGAAAGCCTGATGGCCAGTGTTTTACACAGACATTACAGAAAAGGCCTGGCTCCTTTAAAGTTAGTAATAATGTACAATGGACTTGGGCTCTTTAAAACCCAGTATCCTTTAATCCTATTGTGCTATCCCAATCTTTATGCTTATCAAATTTTTAAAAAAAATACTAATATATAATGAAAAGCATGATAAATAAAACTAAGATTAAAAAGGCTAAGACTGATAGATACCATTATGATAGATAGTATACATGACAGCGGCAAACGTTAGCATAAAAGCGTTTTTAGAGTTTGGTTTGGCTATAAAACAGTAAAAATGAGGAAAATATTTTGTTACAATTCCGTTCAAAAGTATACGCATAATAAATTATTCAAGTTCATTAAATTATCTCCACGCAGTCGGTTTGAAATAAAAACAAACGACGCAACAGCGGAAGCGCCAGCATTTAGCTTAGCATCAAAGCTAACCATCAACCGGGAGAGACACAAAAACAAAGGGGGGATTAACAGGCGCTTCCCTGGTTTACTCATCAGTGTGTCTTTCTCGAGTCAGATTTGCAGTAAGAGGGACACATTCTCGTTTAAAAAATATATTTTAGATAACTGTACCTGCTATTTTCTTAGACCGAATCCTGTCAGGCTGGCTGCTGATGCTAATACTGTCTAATTCGATTTCTTCCTGTGTAGCCTATTGGTCTTCATGACGCACACCAGCACCACCTGCTGTACGGGATGGCCAAACACAACGCGGTCAATGACATTTCTTTATTAATTTTTTGTGCCATTCAGTCCTTTTTGATATACTGGTAATGCCAAATGTCCCAGGTGGATGGCGAAAAAAAAAGTAAACAATTATACCTAGTAATATGCAGATATAAAAAAAAAAATACAGAATCTAATTATGTCAGTCCTGAAAGTTCTTCCATCTATTATTTTTTTATTATTTGATTAAATTGTACTTACTACTTACTTTAACTATGTGACATCTACTTACGATATTTATTATTGTAACTAAGAAGCTTTCTACATAAAAGGATATCGCAGACTACTTCTTAAGCTTAGGATTTTTAGTATTTGCAGTCATCTACAAAACAACAGTTTTATTGGGGTAGGAGCCAGTATATTATTTTATGAACTCATTTAGAACCTCTGGAGATGATTTTGAGAAGAAGACATCTGCAAAAAATTAAGAGTATTACATAAAATCCTGCCCAGGGTCTTCAGTCAAAGGCTACTGAATATACACTGTTCTGTAGATTTCTCCTTTCTTCAGCATTTACAAGCATTTTTTGAAAAACTATGGGTTACAACAAGGTTTAATTTCCCGTCAGGAACAATAAATTAGTTTACTCGAATCAAAATGTATTAGAAATGTTATTTAATGACATATTTCGATGGGTAAAAGAATAACATCAGATAAAATCTTGGACAAAAAAAGAAAAAGAACGTCCATTAGGTGGCGGTAATGCGCCATAAAGTTGGTATGACATCAAAGCAAAAGAAGAAGGTAGATTACACCGGAATTGTCATCACGCCGCTTGTCCTCGGCCATTTTTATTAGGCAAAACACAGCATAAAGTAGCTTTTATCAAAACCAAATTCGGACTATATCACTACACAACGCCGTGTAAGTTCAACACTATTTATGGCTTCTTAGAATTACCATAATTTTCTGACGTACCGCTAACGCTTGCTAAACCCAGCGAGGATTGTTTTTGTTGAAGCTAACAGCGCTATGCTAACGCGCTAAGTTTGCTAACGCTAGCATCAAAAGCAACGGGTTATTTTCTGCTACCCCAAGGCAGGGTTTTGCAAACCACAAGGCAACCAGACTTCTATAGAAAATAACGTTTTGCTTTTTAAATGATCCATGTAATCGGTTCGAATATATAGTAAACCCTAATGTAGGACGATTTATCACTAGCTAACTCTGCTAGAACTATTAGCGTCATGAAATAGTGCTGTTGATACAGGTTGTAACATTCAACTACGTGTCTTTTTTTTCTTCAAGTAAATGTTTCGTACTTGTTATATTACAGTTTGTACATGTGGATACTGTTGGCAATAATTGGTTTGGTAGTTGTTTGACTGGTGGTTAACTCCGGCTATGTTGGAGCTGCGCACTGCGACACACTTGTATTACATGGTTTGTGAAGCATTGTTTCTCTTGTTGTAAGGCTGGTATTACAACTGACGGAGCCTGAAAATCACTATCCAAGCGACGAGACAAGCTCAAAATGTTACTATCTTTTTTCTCTGGCCGATATGCTTAGTCTTTTCGAAGTAATGTCAAGCTAAGCAGGACATTAGCACTAGCATTTTTCCCAGTACCAACTAACTAACGTTCTGATTAACTGTAAATAATCGAATAACACCGTTGGTTTAGGTGCAGTATATAAGCTACCAGGACAGGCAGCTCCCTGTTTAATAAAAATATATTTTCCCTTTGTGTGCATAATTGTAATATTTTAATGTTCAGTCACATCCATAGCCTGATAAGTCAATGCATTATATTTTTAGGTTCTTAGTTTTAAAATACAACCTTCTCGTGTTAAAAAACATCATAAACATTAAGGAAAGCTCACTACTTAACTGTAAAATAGAATATAGAAGCATATTATGACATAGGAGGTTGGCCATATGAAAAAATATGTAGTTTATTTTACAGAAGACTCATTATCACCATTATAACCCATTTTAAACTAGGGTTGAATTAATGATTCTGATTAATTGTGATTGATCGGTTATTGAAATAATCATCAACTAATTTAATAATCGTTTAATCTTTAACTTTAGTATAGAGACTTTAAAACATGCATTTAGCTAACAGAGCAACCCACTTAGAGCTGTAACTATACCAAAATGAAAAAAAAAATATACATTTGGAAACATTTTGCATTCAGGTTAAAAAAATAAAATAAATCTCTTTTCGCCTGTCAATATCTTCTACACAGAACTCCTCAAGTGGAAAGTGTTCTTTAGTTTCACAAGGTTAGTTCAATAAATAGTCTAATTTGAGGAACCTTTGGCTGACCAGTTATTGACTGATTAATAAAAAAAAATAATCAACAGATTAATCGATTTGCAAAGAATTGTTAGTTGCTGCTCTACATCAAACTATAGTTGTCAAAGAACATAACATTACACTACACAGAGCTATATGTGGTCTGCAAAGTTACAGTAATTTAGCTTCTATTTTTTTTTTTCATATAAGCTTGGGAAACCTTAAGGATAATAAATAGGAAGGGCCCGAGTTGTCTACCGATAAAGGTTACCTATCCACACAAAAAAAGTCCCTGTCCTTCAAGTACGCTTTAAACCAGTCTATGCTGTAGCAGAAAAGCCAACCCAATAAAGAAGTAGGCAGACTGATTTCATGACCAGATAGTGTTGAGATCAGAGGCTCCATTGATAGAATTGCATGCTAACCTGTCCAATGGTTAAATTTGGCATAAAGCTAGGGCTGGGTAATAAATCTCTGTTTAGTTTTTTTCTTTCTTTTTTTTTCTACAAAATCCAATTAATTGATTTTCGTTTTAGTTAAACTTCATAATAAAAAACAAATGAAGTATACTTTTTAATAAAAAAGAAGCCTTGATCTCGATCCCCCCTCTGGGAGATGACCTGAATTTATAGGGCGTGCTGTGAAACATCCATTTAGAATGTTTTTCACAACATACAATGAAAATATAACACACTAAGGCTGTGTCCGAGCGTCTGACCGAACCCCCTAATCCGTCAATCCCTATATAGAGCGGGGACCATATAGTGAACTTTATAGTAAACTCAGTTAACTGAGTAACTCCGCCTCCCCAGACGGTGCCTACACAATTTTTCTTATTTGTTGTGGACCGATGTGACAACACATCCCATAATGCTTTACGAGGAGAGCTGTCCTTAGAGCAAAGCATTCTGGGGTGAATCTTCTTATCTAGTGACCATGGATTGTCACTGCTTTTCAAGGTGCATTGTGGGAAATTTCAAGTCAACTACTTTTTCATCCACTAGACAGTTGAAAACTAATTTATAATGGCATATACACAATATAGTGCCCTATATAGTAATTAGGGCGGATATGCCGGACACAGCCTACATTTTTGCAACTAGTGGTGTTAAACTGAGAGCTGGTTTCTTAGTTATGAGTTGGTGCCTGAGAACAAAAGGGATGAACTGAAGTTAGTTTGAATTATTGAAGGATAAACAAAGTGTTGGTTAAAAAAAATCCTTGGTTTTAACTAAATGATTACAAACAAAAAAGGATTATTCAATGGATCGCCTGGCATGGGCATTATTCATGTCTTTTGTTGATAATCTGCAAGAACATTGACTCCCTTGCATTTTTAGCTGGAAGTTAGAGCTGTAAACTCTCTATAGATATTATGGAGACCTAGAGTCCAGTCTGATGGTTATCATCTAGTTTATCTTCTAAGTTACAGGAAAATGAAGTATTAGAAGAGTAAATGCGGTCAAGGTTGTGGTAGCACTGTCCTTAAAGATCTTATAATGTTTCTTTGGCAGTTACTAGAAATTGTGCTTTTAAAGTCGTAGGGAAATCATATATAAATGTCAAATCATTCTGGCTTAAACATGTATATAAATGTACTCTTTATCAGACTGTATTGTTCCAAAATTTAGAAAATTTCTATTAAAAAAAAAATCCTGCCTTAAAATCTGTGGGTTTTTTCGTTATTTTATGCAAGCCAGTTAGTTATACGTCAGCTTGAACACCTAAGTTTGGCCAATCATTAATCAACGGTCATCTGTCAATCAAATTTTTTTTAGTCATAGCATCTTGATTCATATGTCCCAGCTAATATACGAAAAGGTTGAAATAAGAAAAAAGAATCTTTTACTTTACCATTTAGTTCCGTCCCAGTGTTCACGGGGATGGACGTCTGTGTCTTCGGCAGGCGTAGAGCTAACAGAACTGGCAGCGTTGCGAGGCAAGGGCTCAAACATGTACGGCTGTAAGCCTTCTACACCAAACCAAGCTTCTGCCGCCCTGGTGTCCTCTTCCACAACAACTTTGTCCCCGCTTTCCTACTCTAAATAAAAAATGTATGACGGAGGTGACTCATCCACGAGCTCCGACAAAAAAAAAAACACTCTCCTCCTCTTGCATGTTTCCACTGTCCATAGCGATCCTTGACACTGTCGTTGGTAAGTGCTACTTGATCCCAATATAATTTCCCATTGGGAACCTACTAGCACTAAGTTGCTAACTGGATAGCAAGATGCTTCCGAGAAACTAGTTACAATCAAACTTGCTTGCAACCCTTCCGCCACAACAATCCCGCCCCCTTGATAAACGACCAAACACATTCACTTCATTCACTCATGTAAAGTCGGGCCCCACTCAGGAGAATTCGCAAATGCAACAGTTGGAACAGCCGCTTCCCTTCAACTTTAAAGATAAAAAAGTGGTCAAATAGAGCAACATCAGTAAGAGACCTTAGAAATTTATAAACAGTAATAGATGACCAAGTTTAGAATATATATGGTTTTAAAGAAACTCAGATAAAAGTATATTCGCTTTGTGAATTTAACTCGGTTATCATAATGAGTCTCTTTCCAATCTGTTGTTGCTGTGATACATGCAAGGTGTCAGGGAAGCCTTCCTACATCCTTTTTTTGCCCCCCCCCCCAGGAACATGTCTGACTTTATCGACAGCGAGGCCGA